AAAGATTCGAGTCCTAGCAGACAAGTTCCAAGCATTGGAATCCATCCCGAAGTGTGGATACGTGTAGAGGGCGAGGTAATTTCCTCCCTTAAGTAATCGGAACGAACACATCGATTGATACAGGCCCTGGATCGATTGAGGTAAGCGTTCTAACGTTTCTACGATTCAATAGCAGCATGGTTCTAGGGTTCTATAAAATTTTTGTTTTACATCCGTTGCGTAAACCCTAGAATCGATCTCTTAGGAATAGGATTCGCTCTAGAGATCCCAGAAAACCCATCACTAATTTACGATGTGCAGGATTTAAATGGTACAGATTCAAACTCGTAAGTAATAAAAATCTAAAATCACAATACGAATCGATTGTAGTACACCAAGATCGAACTGAAGGAATAACATACTCATCTCCAAATCTAAGGGTAAAGGAAATAGGATGGGTATACAGATCGAAGAATGTAAGAAAACTATAAATACATGTGTTCACAAAGATTGTAGATTTGAGAATAATTATATATCGTAGGGATTTGCAAAGAATTTTAAAGTTCATATCATAACAATCAAACCAGAGCTCCTGCTGTGATTCCTTCACAGGCAAGCAACGCTGAAAGTTCAGCCCTTACATCTCCTTTGTTGCCATCGTCCTCTCCGAACACTTCACCATCACCGTTACCATCCGAACCTACACCACCCATGCTCCCCGAACCTGTATCACAACCACAGCCACCACAAAAATACCCATTCCATGACCACACGCTCGAAAAACCAAATATCCAAACCAAACACGAAATTGTCTCTCACCTCAACCATCGAACCAAACCGGGACACGGAACCGATGTGTGTATCAAAGGCGATCAAGGATCCAAAATGGAGAAGTGTAATGACGGAGGAATGCAATGCCTTGCTATACAACGACACATGGAGTCTTGTTCCGGCTAAATCCTCTTACAACGTGGTTGGATGTAAGTGGATTTTCCGGATTAAACGTCTTCCTAATGGCTGTGTTGATAGGTATAAAGCAAGATTGCCAAAAGCTTTTACCAAAGACCGGGGATTGGCTACATCAATACTTTTAGTCCGCTAATCAAGCACACAACCGTCCGAGTTGTGCTTAGCATTGTTGTCTCCTGAGATTGGATTATCCGACAAACATGTTTGGTGTCGAAGTAAATCGTCGTTCCAATGGTCTGTTGCTCAATCAACATCGGTATCTCATGGATCTCCTCCACCAACACAACATGGCTGATGCAAAGCCGGCCTCAACTCCTTTATCGTCGACGTCGGCAGTGCACACCAGTTTGGGTTCTTCCCTCGACGATCCCTCTGCGTATTGCCAAATATTGGTTAGCCTCCAATATCTTCTTTTCACAAGACCGGATATTGCCTTTGTTGTGAACAAGCATGCTCAGTTCATGCAGTCTCCGACTACGACCGTTGGCAAGCGTTGAAACGTGTTTTTCGACATATCAACGGTTCTCGGTCTCTCAGAATTCTCCTATCCCGATCATGCTCTCTTACGCTTTATGCTTACTTGGACGCCGATTGGAGAGGGAACCGAGATGACTTCACGTCCACCGGAGCAAACATAGCTATCTCGGCAGTAATCCCGTCTCCTGGTCTTCGAAAAAGTAGAGATTCGTGGCTAAATCGTCCACCGAAACTGAGTATAAGTCTGTCTCCTCAACTGCATCCGAGGCTCGTTGGCTTGTCTCTTTGCTTACCAAGCTTGGCATTCCGATGATATATTGTGATAAAATTGGTGTTGGGATTCCTGGGATCTCGCTAGCAATTCATAATCCTAGAGATCTGGTTCTAGGGTTCATGCAGCGGAAGGTGAAAAACAAAATTTTTCTAAACAAAACCCTAAAACCGAACATATATGATTGTAGATCTATAAAAGAAACACTAACCTCAAACGATCCGGGGCATATACTCACAGCTGAAACGTTGATCACAAGAAGGCAGGAAGTTTACCAAGCCCTCTACACGTACCCACACGTCGGGAAGGATTCCAACGGTTGGAACAAGACTGCTAGGACTAGAGATCTGAATCTCCAAAGTGTGCTAGGTTTTAGGAATCAAAAGGGGGTTTTGGGACTCTTAGATCTGGCCTAAACGTCTGAGGAGGCTTACCAAAACCCTAGGGGTCGTGCCCCTTTTATTATGTTTCCTTAAAACCCTAATTTTAATGTGAATAGGAAAGTTCCCAAAATTCGGATCCGGTCCGGTTCCACCTGGATCCGGTCCGGATCAAGTCTGGCCCAAAACTGATTTCTGGGCCGAGTTTGGACGAAATCGGTCCACCTGGATCCGGTCCGGTTCCAGTGTCTGAGAAATATTTTCTCATCTTTTCGATTTCGTTCTAACAACCGTTTATCAGGCCAAACCGGTCTCTCCTTTCTTATACTCCACACATGTGTTCGTCCCTGCGTGTATGACCCTGTAGACTCATTCGGAATAGCAGTAAGACACGAAATCTTCATTCTGGTAATACAATGTTGGTTTAATGCTCTATGATGTACTGCTATATGAGCTTTATTTTGATACATTTGATGTATGGAAACTTACTATGGTTATATGGATGAGTGTTTGATACATTACATGTTATGCATGCTTTAATATGTTATGAAATCTATGTATTGTTATGAACAATGCTAAACTCCCTAGTCATATATCATTGTGGGAACAATGATGTACTAAGACTAGTATGATGTGTGATACATGATAATAAAGATGATCATGGGTATTGGATACGATCATAATCATAGGTAGTCGTTGGAGAACGGAATACTGGAATGAATCGCATGAGATTGTCACATGGACTAGCGTCATGACTTGAATCTCATGTGACGGTTCAATGATTGGATCCTATGACCTGAGATATCCACGGAATCCAACATGAGGAGTTGCGTACTTTGAATACGTCAAATGTTCCGCGTAACAGGAGGACTATAAAGGTGTGTATCAGATACGACACAAATGTGTTGGATTGTAGATAGTCAAGATGGGATTTGTACCTCTCGTAAATAGAGAGACATATCGCTGGGCCCCTCGTGTGAGCGAGACTGTAGAAATGTGTGGCCACATTGTAGACGAACGTCGTCTATTTCGTACAGTCGAACTCTGTGAACGAGAAAGCAGTCAAATCAGATAAGATGTCTTCTCCATGCCATATGTTCGACATATAATATTGTGATACAAAAGGATCATCAACCGGAATCATCACTGATGTTTGTAAGATCACGAACAAACTCTATTCGAGATAGGTAGTCATAGTATCTTGCTAGAGACCGCCTATAACTTGTATACCCGAAATAGATGCTATGCATGAATTGATTGTGAATCTAGAGTAGATTTCGTGTTCTCTGTTGATAGTTGCAAGATGTTTGTGTTCTGAGTTCGTAGGCAAAAAACCGGATCAAATTCGGGTCTGAATCGGGGCCGAAATGACAAAAAACGTGATCTGATCACGTTTTCGTCTGGACCGATCGATCTGGTTCTCTAGACTGATCGGTCTAGGGTTTTGTCTTTTCTCGTCTAGACTGACCGGTCTACATGTGTGGACCGATCGGTCTAGGTCGTGGTCTGAGACCGAACGGTCTGGAATGTCAGACCGAACGGTCTAGATGTTCCGGACCGACCAGACCGATATTCATATGGACCGACTAGTCTACGTCCCGGGTAAGATCGAAATTTTCGGTTTTTCATTTCGCGATATGATTTGAGCAATAGTTGCTTAATCCGATCAACTGTGATTCAGAATAACATCATTCATTCTTATGGATGGCCCATAGTGAATGAATACATGTAACTTAATCAAGATATTAAATATGTTTGATTGAGTGGGAGCTTCGGGATTGAGATTACGTAACCAAATGGATGGTCTATTCAGATTATATAATACATCTGATCAAGGAACAATAGTTGATCCTTGATTCGATTGGTATAATCGTTGCACCTAAACCGGTTGGATTTAGGAGCTGTATGAGTAAAGCACTTGTCAAGGTCGCGATCGTACGTGTCATGGGCCATGCCAAAGTTGGGTGTGCCATATTATCTTGGTGAGGTAAGATGGAGAAATGGTGATTCTCATAGCTTGAAAGTAGATGCTTGATCTAAGTGTGGTTTAAAAATCCCTTTTTATGTAATGATAAGCTTGTACCTTCCATTACTAGAGCACTTGTCAAGGCATCGATCGTCTGTATCACGGGTCATGCTAAAGCTGAGCGTGTCGGATTATCTTTGTGAGGCAAGGTGGAAAATCGTGGTTTCCACAACTTGAATATGGTTTAGCTTAGGTTAAGTTGTCAAGTTTGACTTGAGACTTAACGATACAGATGAGACAAGTATGCAATGACATTTGATATCATAGTCTCATAAAAGATCTAAGAGTCACATTGAATGTGATTGACATTATTATAGAGTTATTTTTCTTTATGGGAGTATAGCTCGTAAATGTATCTATGTTGTCAATGATTGATACTACCTGGTAGTGGATCATTGATAGAATCTGTGTTTTGTTTTGTTCGTTGTGTTTTGTCTTTTTCTGTAGGACATGACGTCGACCGGTAGTGTACCGAGTCTGAGATGTGATCTATCCTTGAAAAGGATAAGTTGACCGAGACGAACTTCTTGGACTGGTATCGTAACTTGAGAATTGTTCTCAAACACGACAAGAAGTCATACGTCCTGAAAGGGGCTCTACCTCCAGAGCCTGCGGCCAATGCAAAAGGGCCGTCAAGGATGCTTGGTTGAAGCAACAGACTGACGACAACGAGATTTCTTGTCTCATGTTGGGGAGCGTGGCACCGAATCTGTAGAGGCAGTTTAAGAGAAAGAGCGTGTTTGATATGATCGAACAGCTCAAGACCATGTTTCAGGAGCTAGCGCATATTGAAAAGTACAAGACACTAAATGCTTTAGTAAAGACGGAGATGCCGAGAGGCAGCTCTGTCAAAACCCACGTCCTCAACATGAGAGCTCATATTGAGGAACTTGAGCGCATGGGAATGAAGCTCGATGATGATTTGGTCGTGGACCTGATCCTGATGTCATTACATGAGGACTATAATCAATTCGTGATGTTGTACCATATGCACGTGATGACTAAGAGCTTAGCTGAGCTGCATGGGATATTGAAATCGGCTGAGCAGGATATAGTGGTCCTTAAGACTGTGCTTGCTGTTGGGAAAACTCTAGCAAGAAGCGGCGGGGTAAAGCGAAAAAGAAGGTGGCGAAAAAGAAAAAAGTTGCTTCTGTGCGTAAACTAAGCCTGATAAGGGTGACTGTCATTACTGTTGAGTGTCTGGGCATTGGAAGCGTAATTGTCACCTTTACTTGGAGGATCTGAAGAAAGAAGCTTGATGAAGTTCTGCCTCAGGTATTCATGTTATAGAAGCTAACATCTGTACTACATCTTCGTGGGTATTGGATATCGGCAGTTCCTCACACATTTATGGAAATGTGCAGGGACTAAGAAGAAGTAGGATGCTGGTGAAGGGAGAAGCGAATCTACACGTCGGAAATGGAGCAAGAGTTATTGCATTGTGTGTTGGCGTTTACGATTTGCATCTTCCTTCTGAACTTGTTTTAGAATTAAGTAATTGTTACTATGTTACTGCTATTAGGAGAAACATTATTTCTATTTCATGTCTGGATTTGGATGATTTTCGATTTGTGATTGGAAACTCCAGTTTGATGATTTATCGAGATAATGTTTACTATAATAATGATTATCTTGTGAATGATTTATACGTCTTGAATGATCAGCTTCGAACTCGATATCATCCATCTATAATGTGAGTGCTAAACGGTTTAAGCCAAACTACTTAAACCAAACTTTCCTCTGGCGTTGTCGTTTAGGCCATATAAACGAGAAACGCATTCAGAAGCTTCATCATAAAGGTCTTCTGGACTCATTTGACTTCGAGTCACTTGAGTCTTGCGAGTCTTGTTTGACGGACAAGATGACAAAGCATCCTTTCAAGGGGAACGGACAGAGAGCGACAGAGTTATTGGCTTTCATACATAGTGATGTATGCAGACCAATGAGCTGTCCAGCTAGAGCAGGTTATCTGTATTACGTTCACTAATGATTTCAGTCGATACAGTTATGTCTATTTGATGAGACATAAGTCTGAAACACTTGAAATGTTCAAGGTATTTAGAAACGAAGTACAGAACCAGCTTGGCAAGACGATCAAAACACTTCGATCTGATCATGGTGGCGAGTATTTGAGCCAAGAGTTCACTGACTATCTGGTTGATTGTGGTATTGTATCACAATTAACTCCTCCTGGAATGCCAAAATGGACGGCATGTCTGAACGGAGGAACTGAACACTATTAGATATGGTTCGGTCGATGATGATTCAGATAGATCTTCCGAAGTCCTTTTGGGGCTATGCTTTAGAGAC